CATGGGTCCTTCATCCCTGTGAAACAGAAAGCCTTTCACGTAAAGGTCTGAAAGAGTGAAAGAGAACAGCAGAATTCTCCTGCTTTTCACAAAAAGAACCATTGGAACATTAAGGGAAGAAGGGAGGAAGCAAAAAAAAAAAAAAAAAAGGAAGAAAACAAGGGAAAAAAGAACATTAAGGGGAAAAAATACTTTGCCAGATCAAAGCCTCTGTATGAGATGTGTCAGATTTTAATGCTGTATTTATTCTAGAATCTTTCCTAGTCTAAATGCAGTTTGAAGAATGCTTGAAACAGCATCAGCAAGAAAGATTCCGGCTGCTTCCTGTAATCCCAACATTTTAAGAACTTAAGCAAAATAAGAAAAAAAAGCTGTTGTTGCTACTGCTAAAACTGTACTTTACAGAGATATAAATTGGATTGGGTCACCATGACAATCCCTTTTATGATGAGTTCTGAGGACTTCTGTTAATCGGGTTCTATGCCATCAGTAAAAATGATCACATTTATTATCAGTGCAGTTGAAGCCTCACTTGGAAGAAGGAAATCTGATGAAGAAGGGAAACACTACTTTCCTTTTGAACTTGCAGAGATGCACAGGCAAATTTAATTCTGATCAGATAATATTTTGTGGAATATTCATTAATTTTTTAAAAAGATACTGCTGAGATTCCTTTTCCATGCTTTTCAGAATCAGTTTTCTCCTTACTGAGAAGATTATTCATCATTCGGATCAGCCGTCTTAGCTGAAGTAACTGAAAGGTCAGGCTGTGCTTGACTTTTGTTTAAACAGAATGAGAGAGCATTTATAAGGCAGCCCTGTCAGAGAAGATTTCACCCCAGTGTGCTTAGTTTCCACAGAAATTTTTGAAATTTCCCACTTAATTGTTAATGAAAAACTTGCAGGAATAAGGCTCAGTTTATAAATAGTGAACTTTTGAATGGTTAACTCTGTATATATAATTATGATCTTTTAAACTATTTTAAAAAAATGTTTTCAAATGTATTAGTAAACATAGCCATATTTACTATGAGATTTACTGCCTTTCAGGGTACCCAGTTTAGTGCTAGATGGGGTAATGTTCCAACTCAGTGTAACATAAGTGGACTACATAAAATCAGAATCAGGCCTAGCTTCCAAAATATTCCTAAATTTACTATCTTATATATGCTTACCCCCAGAGTAAATAGAACATCTGAGGGGAAATACCTAGAATTCTAATGTAAGAGAATTTCTTCACAAAGTTGTCTATTTCCTACCATATTCTAGTAAATGTTCATGTTTGCCTTAAATGGGGTCATATGTTGAAGTGACTTGGTGGCACTCAAGATGTAACCCTAAATATTAAAAATATTTGCTTTTCACATTTTACATCATCTTTCTAACCATTCGAGGCAGCTGATAGACACACACACACACACACACACACACACACAAATAACTAAGCCAATGTAAATGGATCGAAATGTAATAAATCCAGAGCAGTGAAGATTAATACCATTACACTAGACTATATGATATTAATCAAATTTAACCTGCTTGTCTTCAAAAATGGCTCATGAAGAGTTTCCCAAACATGAAGAAAGCCAAACATTGATATGTGTATCAATTATGTGTTCCTGCATGGCAGAAGAATGGAATAAATGGTCCTTGTGGTCCTTTCCCACTGTAAGAGTCTATGGACATTATCACAGAAACCTTGTTCTCATTGTAATCATGTTAGTAAAAGGAAACAGATATATACAGATTTAGGAGTTTTCCTTATTGCACATCCCTTCAGTAGCACAACTGAGGCTGTTTCAGCCATCAGCAGTCCCTTGCATTCTCTTCTGCACTCATCCTTAATACCACCTTTTTACCCTATGCCCTACCCAGTATAACATTTTTTAAAAAAATTTAATTTGTAACACAATTTAACAATTATGGCAATGTGATTTAGTAAAACAAAGATGAAAAAAGAAAAGAAAAAGAAAAGAAAACCAGTCTGCTCAGAAATAGTGAAGGAGAGTGGGGAGCAGTGGGAAGAGAATGATACTATATGACTGCTCAGTGTTGGAACTGCCACGGGAGGAACCTATTGTACATGAGGACTAATGGCAGAGCAGCATGATTGGGCACTTATTGATGGGTTTTTCCTGTCAATGAAAAGGTGTGCTCTAACCACATTTCGGAGGCACAACAGCAATGTGTTGGTGTCAACATTGTGTAATAAATATCAGCAAAGGTGCTATTTTTCCAATTTGAATTGTGGTTTAAAAGCTGCGTGTGATAATCTACAAGGATTTTATGCTTATACAATTTTTTTTAAATTCCTGCACATAGAAAACTATGTATCAGAGACGAGTGTTCCAACTTAGCCTTCTCCTTGCCATTCTACTTTTCTATGCATTGGAAGAGTTTTCATGAGGGGCATTCTGCATTCTGTCACATGAGCTTTCAGCCACGTTTTAAAGCAATATGGCTGAGGAACCTCATTTTACTGCCTCATTTACTGAAAATCAGGTCATATACCCTGAGTTATACATAAGGGGGGGGGGGGAATCAAAGCAGCTGGATCACATATAATACTTTTTCACACATAGTGAATAATGCTCCTACTTGGTCTGCCTGTTTCATTCTCCCTCTTTGGACTTGACAGAACATGTTCCTTTGTGGCCTTTCATTTCCCAGCATCCTGCTGTAAGAGTTAAATACTAATGTTTCTTTATGATTCTTCTCACTGAGAAACAGAAGGATTAGAATAAAGGAATCCAGGGAGGCCAAAACGAGCCAACTTTCTATCAGTCTTTTGTGCAGAATACAAGTCACCCTGCAAAGTTACCCCTTTGGAGTATTTTACAAAAGATTCAAAATCCATTTTAAAATATACCAAATTTATTCAGTGCAGGAGGGGGACGGAAAGGATGTTTCTGACAGGCTTTGTTCTATGAAATAAAGAATTACTGCTGTATCATTTGCATTAATCAGGGACCGAACAGCTTGCTGACATCTTAGAGGGGGAATTCAATGGCTACTCAAACGGATGCCATCTCACTGGTGCCAATTTAGCCCACGCAAATGTAAGTGATCATTGAGCAGACCTCCCTGAGTGGTTTTACACAGCGTTACAGTATGCAAGTAGTATTCCAGCTACACAGATTTATTCAAATTCCTTCTTCATCTTAAAATGACTGATTTCAAATGTCCATGTATCCACATGGATTTATTCAAATCCCTTCCTCACCTTCAAGAGGCCAATTTTAAATACACTGTGAAGTATACAAAAACAAACATAGCTCACTTGTTTTGCCCCCCCCCTTTTGTCCATTTTGTTTAAACCAATGTTAGAATTTAAACCTGTCTCAATGGAAATAATTTTCCTACTGTAATTATTTAACACACAGGGAGGAGGTTGTATCTGTATAAATGCTGGTGCTGTAACTGCTCCGTGATGCCACCTAGAGAAAACATGCATCTCCTTGAAAGCATATGTAACTCACCAACTCATCATATTTTTTAGTTATACCTCCTAGGGAGGTTTGGATTACTAGGAAATCCCCAGATACTGGCAGAGGCACGTGCTATTAATGTATTTGTTTTGATTTACTAGTTACATTGGGGGGAAGCAGACGAGCTAATAGGGTTGTTTTGGGGCTGACCTGAAGGCACAGTCTTTACATGACGCACGTGTGTGTGTGTGTGTGTGTGTGTCAGAAAGAGAGACCTAAGATCATTCATCAAGTTTTACAGATATGTGGATATATGGTGCAGGAGCTCAAAGCTCAAGTATGGTAACTTCTCTGTTGGAAGAAGTACCAAAGAGAAGAGTGGAGCATAGTCAAAACCCTATGCTCATTTTTAGTGATTTGTTCCACCATCAACAATATTGCAGTTGCTGTTAAAACAGTAAAAGAGCTGGTGTGTAAGTAAAAACACACCCACTGGAGACAAATGTGAGCTTGAGATAACTGCCCCCCTTTGAACCTCCTCAGACTCATTAGAGCAGGGATAGGCAACCTTTTTGAGCCGGGGCCCGGGTTTCTGTCCCTCAGACAATGGGGGGGGGGGCAAAGCACCAAAAATAAATAAATAATTAATTAAATATAAAAATTTAAAAATAATATATAAAAATAAAAAAATATGCATGCACACTCTCTCAGCCCCAGAAAAGCCATGCCAAAACCCCTGTGAAGATTTTGCCAAGAAAAACCCAAGAACAAGTAATAACAACAATAATTAATATCATCATGGCGGGGGGCGGCGGCGGCAGGACCGGCCTGGGGCCGGTCCAAAGACCCCCAGTCCTTAGGTTGCCTAACCCTGCATTAGAGATTTAATTCAGAAAGATTGAACAATTCTCACTGGAGTTTGAAAAGTTATTTTTCAAAACCAATTTGCTCTGTTACTCATTGCATTGCTAAAACTGCAAACAAAATAAATCATACTTGAAGAACTGATTTGATTCCATTTCACTGTCACTATTCTCCTCCTCCTCCTCTTCTGCTATTCACCATCTCATCTCTTACAAAGTTTCTTTTGTGTTGATCACTTCTTTCTATTTTAAGCACTGGTACTTTTGAGGCTGTGAGCTAGTATGATGCAGTGGTTTGAGTGTTGGACTATAACTCTGGAGACCAGGGTTTGAATCCCTGCCTTGCCATAGAAACCCAAGAAACCTCAGGCAAATCACAGGCTCTCAACCTCAGGGCAAGGCAGTGGCAAATCTCCTCTGAACAAATCTTGCCAGGAAAACCCCATGATAGGGGCCTTAGAGTCATCATAAGTCAGAAATTACTTGAAGGCACACAACAACAAACTTTTGAGACTGTTGAAGGACAACAGCTATGATCTTAAATAGTGGAATTGGTACTTTCATAAAATCTTTGGGGAAAAAATTTAGACTACAAATCTCAGAATCTCCTGGTCAGTATCTCCTGGAAGCTGCAATTCAAAACAAAAGCAAAAATAAAAAAAAGCCCACAACTTTTCTTATCACTGACTTCTACCATGTTATCCTTCTTTTTCTACTTCCTATTTGCCACTTTAAGGTCATTTGCTGAACAAAGCTCTGTGTGCCTGATTAAACTCTCATATTGATTCAGCAAATAGTCATGTGGCTGTTAAGAGTATTTTAATGAAGTGGGTGTTTGTTTGTTTTTTATCCAGCTAGCACAAGTGCCTTCATACACAGTGGGCTATTCTATTTAAAAGCCAACATGCACACTTCCTGAGAGATGTAATGGATGTCATGCATCAAGGAACCAACAGAATGGAGGGAATGACCTTTTCTTGTGGTAATATTCAATAGCTATTAGCAAAACAACATGATACATAAAGTTGACTGATGGGGGAAATACACTAAATAGATTAGAGGAGATGACTCAATTGTTCAAGCACCCGTTTCCATGTAAATTTAGGATAATTGTTTTTTCCACTTGTTGATGTCGATCTTTATGTCCAAATCAAAGTACAGAAAGTAGCTCTTGAATCTGGGTACTGTTGTCTGAAAAAGCAACTTTTCCTATCTTTGGTCTAAATCCATACTTACCGTTGTTGTTTGGAATGCTCCAACTGGACTAAAGGCACTCCATTTAGGCTAGCCGATTCACTCCATTCAGACTAGCACCCCATGTTTAAGGTATTTGTTTCCAGCTCCTCCTCCATCATAAAGCACGATTATTCTTTCATCTGATTTCTTTGACCACCAAACATATGTCTTGATTCACTGTGTCTGATAGCCACTTTATATCAGCAGGATAGCAAAGGCACTTCTTGTAAAGTGGAAGAAAACGTTTTGATTAGCAGCAGGAAATGTCATTTGCCACATTTTTCCTGTTCCTTCTATGCTTAGCTGCAATCCTGGGATGGGATGGGAATGAATGGATTTTCCCAGCAGCATTAACACAAGCTGTGTTAATTAACACAAACTGTGGCACAGATAATGAATTACTCATAATAAAAAATAAGAGTAAGACTGAAAAAGAAAACAAAACCAGTGATCATACCAAAATATGATCTAAATAATACCTCAGCAGAATTTACAGATAACATAAGAAACAGATTCACACTACTAAGCATAATAGACAGAGAACCAGAGGAACCATGGTCTGAAGCCAGGGATATAATAAAAGAAGAATGCAGGCAGACACTTTCAATAAACAAAAAGAAAGAGGGGAAAAACCATGGATGACAGAGAAAACACTACAAACAATAAAGAAAACAAAACAAAAGGGAGATAGGAACAAACTAAGAATTATGAATGCAACAGTACAATGGTTTATGCGCAGTGATAAAGAAAATTACTACAACAACCAATGCAGAGAAATAGAAACAACAACAAAAATGGAAGAACAAGAGATCTATTTCACAAGATCCAGG